TGGCCATCTGCTTGTTGGCACCTCTTTATTAGATAGCATTTATCTTTCTATTTCCAGGTTAGATAGTGCAGGCAATATCATATTCCAGGTAAGGGGTCCTGGTCTGGGCATAAATGATTTACCACCAGACTCACTGGTACCTAAAATTCAGCTTGTTGCCGGCTTACCGACTTCCAATGGCGGTTATATATATGCTGGCAATATATTAACCAATACACGTCTAAGTGATTTTTTTGTATTCAAAGTGAATGCGACAAATCATATTGAGTGGGCGAAAATGTATGGTGGTAGTAAGACGGAGACGTTAGTCAATATGATGGCAACAGATGATGGCAACTATTTATTAGCTGGCTCATCTAACTCAACAAATGGAGACATTTTGAGATATTATGGAGGTTTTGATTTTCTGATACTTGAAATTGATGACCACGGCAGTCTGATGGGGAGCTTCAATCTGGGAGATGAAAACTTAAATGAGTTGAATCTTATCACCAAGACCAGCAAAAAAAATACATATGTCATCGTTGGCACTAGCGGACAAAGTTCAACGAATACACTAGAGGGTTTTGGCGGTAGCTTGCTGATGTATGAAATAATACTTTCAGAAAAAAATACCCCTAGCCCTGCCCAATAATTTACCCGTGATTTAAATGATTAACACTACCACGGGCACCCATTTCAACAACCAATAAAATGTTATCAAATGCATCCCAAAAATACCAGCCGGCATACCGGTTTTATTAATTATTTATGCAGCTACCTGTCGGGCATTGGCTTGCTTTTATTACTTCCAATGCTTACTGCCGCACAACGGGTACCGGCCTGTAACGGCGCCACCCAGCAAACCAACAGGATCAATGGCCTCTGCCTGCTCTGTAATATAGGGCAGCCCGCGGCGGCTATAGATACCAGCCAGGCCACTTACTCCACCTTGTCAGTGCCCGTGGGCCTATTGGGTGTGTATGCAGAACAGACGTTAATATTTCCTTTTACCGGTGCTTCGACAGACAGTATCCAGTTATTGTTGAGTTTCCCGGCCAACCTCCTGGAGCTTTCTGCCATTTCCAAAGTGGAAATAGCCACCTACAATGGAGCAACTTATAACAATGACCGGCAGTCTGTTTACACGCCGGCAGCTGTTATTCTCTTACTCACGGCGCCTAACCAGGTATTGGTTACCTTTTCACCGGGCCACGCTTATGACCGGATAGCGGTACGCTTATCTACCTCTTTGATCTCGGCGCTTGGCAGTGTCAATATTCATTACGCAGCACGTAAATTACCGCCACCAACACTTACCAGCAACAGTGTTACTATTTGTGAAAACGCAACGGCAACATTAACGGCAACAGCACCAACAGGCACAACAATCTATTGGTATGACTCACCCGACGCTGCTAATAGCATAGCTACCGGTTCCACCTACACCACCCCATCTCTTTTCAACACGAGAACCTATTATGTTGCCGCCGCTCCCGGCAGTGGATGTGCCTCCGGGTCGCGCGCCGGCGTCTCTGTTAATGTTCATAATGCCCCTCCCAAACCTTTTATTACCGCAACGGACTTCTCCGTTTG